TGTGCCTGGAACTGCCCCAATCTTGCACTTGACCTTGTTGAACTTGATGCATTTGCACAGACACATCTCTTAAGCCTCTCAAGGTCTCTCTGGATGGTATTCCTTCCTTCCAGTATGTAAATCTTATCTCAGTTTCTGCTTTATAATACAAGCACATAATAACAACATAATTAGTAGTTACTTGACGTTTTTCATCTGTCCATTGGTCAAGCCAGCCTGTAAAGAATGAGCAGGAAAATGAAGTGTGTTTAGGCACTGTCGAACGTCAGAGTGCAAACACCCTATTTGGGTCAGAAAAGCTGCATAGTGCCCAGACTGTGTAGTCCCAGTTGCCCAGTTCAGTTCAGCTCAGGTCTGGGATTTCTGCCTGTGCAGTCTAAGCAGCTGAGTGTAAACAATAGTATCTCAAATTTGGAGTCGCAGATTTGTATGGATGCACATCACCTGATATGCATGACCTTTCTCTGTGGTGATTTTTGTTTGTTTGCTTTTTCTTCTTGTGGCTAAGTCGTATTTTCTTGGGTAAAACATCATATATTACTTGGCATGCCTCAAATGAGAAAACAGGGGGGTAGCTGTCTTTTGGTTTACTGCAAACATTAGCAAAAATACTTAATTATGAAAGTTACAGGAGTACAGCAATATCAATTGGAACATATAAACAAGTTAATTTTAAATGAATTCTATATTTTTGAGGATAGAGAGTTTATGAGGCTTTAGGTGATCGCTGATGAGTGTTCTCAGAAGATAAAATTTCTGTTTCATTAGTAAGTATGACTTTATCATCTCAAATACAACCTTTGGAAAAAGAACTTATGGAATGGTTTTAAATAACAAATAGTATAAATTTTCTCTCTTTTTTTAATGTCATAAGCTATACCAAAATAGGATGACCTTAATAAACTGAGTGACTTACAGATTACATGATATTCTTGAGATATAAAGAGGATACAGGCAGACCAAACTTTTTTAGGCTCATTTCATATTTAGAAGAATTCAGTTATGCATGTTTTAATACAGGGCAAGTGAAAGGAATGACATAAAAAATCATTTAGTACAGTTAAACAGAGATTCTGAACTGTGAGGGTGGTGAGGTGCTGGAACAGGTTGCCCAGAAAAGTTGTGCATACCCCATCCCTGGGAGTGTTCAAGGGCAGGATGGATAAGGCTCTGAATAACCTGGTCGATTGAAAGGTGTCCCTGCCCATGGCAGGGGCTCTGGGATTAGATGACCTGTAAGGTCCCTTACAACCCCAGCCATTCTATAATTCTATGATTTCTATTAACATAACTGTTTTTAAAATTCACATGGTCTCTAATTGATGAAAGCAAGTTTGACAATTGTGGCTTCAGAGAATAATGTTATACATGTACATCCCATCCTCTTATCCCATGTTGATAAGAGTAGACCACACAAAGGACTTTTGAAAACTTCTTCATTTGAAAATTTTCATGTATCAATTCAAAATGGTAAAATAGAGAATAATTCTTAGCCCTAAAAAAATCTACTCGTGGGGTTTGGTTCCCTCCCCCCCCATTGTCTTAATATTCTGTCTTACAAGATTCAAATGGAATTCAAACTCTGTGATATAAATATTTCATATACAGTCTTCTCATAAAACATCTAGACCTTTAGTGATGACTTTGTACAAGTAGATAGAAGAAGAACTAGTACAGTAGTTGCTAAGTACAGACTGAGCTGTATAAAGCAATTATAGGGTAAAAATTTTGAAAACCATTGAAAGTTGAAATGTGACTTAAGCTTGTGCCTAACTAACATGGTTTTTCTTCATAATTTCTCCTTAGTAATAGAAAGCTGGGCATAAGTCTGTAGGCAATTTTGCCATTTTCAGCTATAGAATGAATGAATTTTCAGGATCATTTGGAAGTTCTGCGGGCCAATTTTTTAACTCCTTTAGTTATCAGTGTAAAACAACTTTTAAACATTTCTGTTTGAGACACTTTTTTTTCACTGACTAGACCTTCAGTTGGCTCAAAATAGTTATACAGGCATGTTCTGAATGTTAAGTTGTAGGATTATAAAGTTTGAAGCAAATAGAACAGTTGAGAAGGTCTTGAGCTTCTGACTTGCAATGCATCAAATGCAATATGTGCATCCCAGTGCATCAGCTGAGAGACTAACAAAACCGACAGAACTGATTGCAGGCTGAAAGCAGAGAGGCTTCTTTAGGTGTGAAATACTGTAATAGATACAGCTTTGCAATTGGTTGTAATTAGTACTGCTGCTTTTCAAGTTAAGAATATAAATTCATGGGGGCAGTACATCTCTAATTAGTATTACCAGCGCTCTTATCTGCTACCTCTGTTCTGTGTGGGAGTGGAGTCCAGAAGATTGAATCATGTAATTATTCCACTTATAGAAGAACAAATGTTGTGCTACCCAGCTGCCATCCATTTTATTATACTTTTTTTGTCATTGAAGAGGAATTCTTCAACAATTTAAACAGAGAAATGACAATGAATTGAGTTTCTTTTTGTGTTTGTGTATTTATTCTACTTTTCTCACTTTATCACCTTCTTTGATTTCTAGCTTTTCATTAGTTACCTTATTCTAATACAATTTTTATAATTCTAATATAATCTTTTTGATGTAAGGCTAAACAATATATTCAGAACAGACTAAGGATTTTTTTTCTTTCCTTGCTAGATGTATATGTTTATATATTTTGAAGGAAAACAAAAGAAAGTGTATCAAACATTGTTTTTATTTTGCTTTTTAAAGCTATGGTAAAAATGAATTGCACAGAAAATGACTGATATTTTAAGCGACAATGTTTATTGAGAAGTAAATCCTGTTTGGTATCTCACTATCACTGAACTGTTTTGTAGTAATGCTAATGAATAAATATGAAACCATTTGTAGTTGTCTAGAAGGCTCCATGCTATCCCAGTGGACAGTGACATAGCGCCAGCTATTCATATCCCAGGTCTGCTATAATTTAATCAACTCCATGCAGCTCTCTCCCTAGGGGGAAAAAAGAAAAAAAAAAAAAGGAAAAAAAATCCATCTAGTATAAAACAATCTAGAATGAACTTCTGCTATGAAATCCTTTAACCTGCCTGCTAACCTGATCTCTATTATCTGTAGTTTTCCTGTTGATTAAATCAGGTTCATATTTTCACAAGTTATTTAAAAGGAATTCCAGCACCTTGTTCCCAGTTTATTTTAAAAGTGCATAAAGCATTTGAATTAGGACAGCAGTGAACAAATCTTCCTCAAGCACTGTGGAACATTTTTGTCACAAGACTAAAGCACATCTCTTCAAAGGCTTATTTCTGAGCATGAAGTAGGAATTTCTGCCCCAGGAAATTAAGAATCATCAGAATTCTTCCCCCATTGTAAATTACACTTTTCAGCTTTGCTTTCCTCTAATGTAATCACCCCTAGAGCACCTAAATATGGAGAGATTAATTAAGTCCAACAATTAAACAAAGAAATCCCTGTATCTTATTGCCAACAAAAGTTAATTGTTAGACAGAATTTACAGGTTGTCCCATGAGAGGGAAAAGAAAGAAAAGAGGAAGAACATGTGACAGAAAATAGTTAAAGAGCTTAACCTCCACTGATATGGGGCTCAGATACTTGTGGTGCTGGTTGTGGGGAGATCTATGTAGAGGTCACATTGAGGGATGCACTCCTGGAGCTGGTGTTCCTGGAGAAGGTGATAGAGACATAATTTGGAAGTCAGAGTTTGTCCCTAAGATGTTTGTTGTAATGCTCTAGATTTTGTAGGAGTTTTGGTGGATATGTAGAAACAGGAATGGATGACATGAAAAGAATTGTTTGAGTGATTGATTAATCCTCTCATCAGAGTGATTTATCCAGTGGACAGCCTAATGTGCTCTTTTGCAGAGAACTTACTACAGATTACATAGCTATATACCTATCAAATCCAGTGCTTTCTGTCCCAGATTGCTTTGTTCTGTATATTAAAGAATATCAGTCATAAGCCTTAGTGAGCCAACCTTCTTTTAAGGCTTTTAATATTCAAATAATGTATTTTTTTAAATTCACAAATTTCGAAATACAGCTGTCTAGAAATCTTTCTGCCTGAACAGTTTACTTTCCACTTTTTGGTGGTGTCACAGTTTTTTTTCTCTCTTTTTTTTTTTCCCTCTCCCCCAGTTTCAGTACGATGTGATTATTTAGTCATAAAAAAAGGGTACCAAATTTTAATGGCCCTGTGGACAAATTTACTTGTTTAGTTATCATTGTAAAATAAAAAGGATGAGTAACTCCTCAAATTTCTTTTTTTTAGTCTTTACTTTTTAAATCTGTTTTCCTAAACAGTTATTGAGAAGTTTTTAATGTTGGGAACAGCTCCATGACTCTCACTTGATGGAGCTTTTTGAATTATGTACTATTTCTCTCATAAGCATAAATTAAATTCTGATCAAAAAAGGTGTCAGTTTATTTTTACTTTATTCAGTTATACTATTTAAAGCAAGAAAAAAACCTTTATGAACTCATGATGCATCAGTACATATGTTTTGTGGTATTTCCTTGTCCCAGATTCGTGTTCGGTTTTGTTTATTTCAATATTTCTTTCAGTGAAGAAATCACTGAGAAATTTGAGTGTAGTTCTTCTGACTTGGTAAGTAATTAGTGTAGCAACTTGGAAATAGCAAGCCTAGGAGTTGGAAAACTGAAGATCTGTCAGAAGTTGCTTTTAAAGAAATCATGTGATGAAGTTAAGGTACAGGAAGAGTGTCTTGGTTTTGGCTAGGATAGAGTTAGTTTTCTTCTCAGCAGCTGGTACAGTGCTGTGTTTTGGATTTAGTATGAGAATTATGCTGATAATACACTGTTTAGTTGTTGCTAAGTAGTGCTTACCCTAAGTCAAGGACTCTTCAGTTTCCCATGCTCTGCCAGTGAGGAGCTGCAAAAGAAGCAGGGAAAGAGCATAGCCAGGCCAGCTGACCAAAGGGATATTCCATACCATGGAATGTCATGCTCTCTTATAAACTGGGAGAAATTGGCTGATTGCTGCGCAGGGATGAGCTGGCCAGGGGAGGCTGATTGCTGCTAAGGTGAGCAATTGTATTGTGCATCACTTGTTTTTCTCCCCTCTCTCCTTTTGGTATCTCCCTTTTCATTATCATTATTGTTCTTAACAACTTTGTTTCAATTATTAAACTGGTCGTATCTCAATCCATGAGGTTTACCTTTTTTTTTTTTCCTTTCCTGACTTCTCCAGCCCATCGCACTGGGGCACAGAATAAGTGAGTGAGTGGCTGCATGCTACTTGCTTGCCAGCTGGGGCTAAACCATAGCAGAGTAAAGCAAAAATTACAGTCAAAAATGTATGCCTGTATTTTAAATGTAAGTAACTATATTCAGTGATGTTGCTGTCTTGCATTCTGAGCAGTTTTTATCGAAGCTCAGCTTTTGTTGCTAATATTTTTCACTGTCGTAAGCTGTAGCATTAGTGAAATATTTTCTCAGATTCAAGTATTTTGCTTATCATGTCACGATGGGGCTTGTGTTGCATGTGTTCCCAGCGTTTACTGATATATTCCATATAAATAATTCAAGGAAGTGAATTTGAATAATTACTTCTCTGAGGAATACAGTCCATATCTTTGTATTAAAATTTAAATAGCTTTTTTACATGTCCCAGACTAGTACACCTGGGAATAGTCAGGAAAATAAATGTGCTTTTGAGTTGTGCTGGTCACTCCTTTAAAGGGAGAGACTTTCAGCTTGATAAGCAAATTGTCACTGATCTCAGTGTATCAATGTTTATAGTTTATATTTCAGAATTATGTTAATTTACATCAGTAAACATCTTTTGCTAAATTGGAAAAAATTGTACTATTCATTACTAAACTTTCAATTATGCAAATTTTGAGTATTTCTGTCATTACAGACATTGTTCTGTACGAAGTATAAAATGAATTGCAGGAACACCTATATATCTGTATCTGTATCTGTACATAATGCCTGCATTTCCAAGAAATTAGAGATTACTAGCATGTTTTTGTGCGGAGAACAGAGAAAAGTGTTTCAGGCACATGTGGAAGCATGTGTTATCTGACATGTAAAAATTCTCCTTTGGAAAATGTGTGATGTCACCCATGCTGAAATCACAGGATCTAGCTAACAAGTTCTTGAAAGGCATTATTGCTTCAGCCTCCATACCAATTAAGGTATAAAATATTCTGTGTTATTTATTCCTATTGTTTAGGCAAAAATCACTTATCAGGCCTGTTGTGGAAAACTGTAGTTTCTCTGGAAGGAAACTTTCTGTAACCCCAGCAGTGAGGATGGACCTCAGAAGAAGCTCTCCTGCCTTTCAGGAGGAAACAGAGGGGGTTGGGTTGGTTGAGAAGCTGGATGTGTTTCCATGGGCCAAAGTTTGAAGCTGAAACTGCTGGTGGGACTGATGTAATTTTTTTTTCTCCATAGTCTCCAAAAACTCTTTTCTTGCAGTGAGGACTGTACTGAGGTGGAATGAGATGATTTTGAATGGTTAGGTTGGCATTTAGAGGATGTGCCTCTATATTTTTTTCTCCACTGCATAATTCTTTCTCTTCTCTCCTCAGCCTGGCTTCTGCAGAGCAGCTGAGGATTTCAGTGGCATGAGGAATTCCAGGAAATCTGTTTGTTAGCATTGTTGGCTGAATGCTAAATAATTTGATTTGTATAGTTTTTTAACGAAGCTTTGCTTCCTTGTTTGGGTATATGGCCTGGTACAAATCCTGACAGAACACTTAATAAACTCTCAAATCCTGAAAGGAAAACGTTATAAAAAGGAGGCTGGAATTCTAAGACTTATTATAGTCAGTAGATAGAGGAGGAAGATTTTTTTTTTTTCTTTTTGTGATAAAATGAATAGTTTATTAATGCAGTGTTTCTAATTTCTCTTATTTGTAAGGTCTGCTTTGTGTCTGTTTGAGAGGGCTGTGAATCTTGCCTAAGGGTATACTAGCAAAATGTATGCATAGATCTGAGTTTTCCAGAATAGGTCAAACACTTAGAGGATTGCTGAAAAGCTCCCTACCTGACATCATATGTATTTTAGCTCTGTGCTGTATTGTGTTCTTCAGAGTAATTTATCTCTGCATGAACATGTCAAATCACTGTGTGTCTGTTTAGAGCTGCTGATCTTTATTTTGCCTGCCAGCAAGCACATTTGATTATTGTTGTAGTTAAACATTCTGTTTTTTCTATGTGATAGTATCATCCCTTTTACTGCTTTCCTCTTCATGTACTTACGTGTAGGTTTCTTACTGTGTGACCTTCCCAGAGTACTTAAAGAGCAATAAAATAAAGTGTAAAGGAATGCATTTATGTTAAACACTACTGGAAAAAGTTATATAAATTAATATTTTTTTGTACAGAAGTTAGGGTATTTATATAGTATATAGGTGGTCTTCCATCATTTACCTTAACAAATGGTAAACATCATGTAACACAAATAGGCATTGATGGCTTTTGTCCTCAGCACCTATATACTGTTCTTGATTTCTAATAAATACAATATTATCTATATAAAATGGAAAGATGTCTCTGTAAAAAGTTTAATTGTGAAAAACTAAAGGATGCAGGGATTTTTCCTTATTTAGGACTCTGCTTCAGCATAACTTAACAGGAAACTGAAAAAAGGAAGCCCCTATAGAGTTCCTTTTGCCAAGATCTTCCCCGTTATGTTTCTGTTTATTCCTGCATCACACACACTGAGGTGGTGTACAGGACCTGACTGGAGGCCAAAGACCAGCTAGCCATCCCCAGAGAACTGCCTACCTCCCCATTCCTATTTTCAAATACACCCGAAAATTAGCTCCACTACATCCCCCACAACCTTCCCTTTCAAAGGACAGAAATTGCATTTAGAGTTTTTCAGTATAAAAGTGTAACCTTAAATTCTGTCATCTATTCCATGATAACTGCTGTCTTACACACAAACTACTTCTTTGTTCGTGTGAGATGCTATGCCCATACTAAATTTTTTGCTGTCATCTCATTCAGGTCACATACCTTTCCTTACAAGAGTAGTTTTAGGCAGTAGAGCCTAGCTGTTGCAGATAATGAAGCTAATGTAGTTAAGGAAACAAATAGTAAACCTGGATGAAATTGTGGTAGAAAATTTTGGTTATATTAAATCAATCATGCAAATATAAAAAAGAATTCAGTAAAATCTAATCAGTTGTCAAGAATATAAGAAAAATATACCTATTTGAAGAAATAAAACTGTCTTCAATACAATCTCAGATGAAAAAACAAACATTGTAAATAGTAACACAGTTCAAGGGCTTACATTGCTTTCTTGTCTTCAATACAATCTAATCAATTATTAGAAATGAAACATCTCTAATTTGATTAAAATGGCCCCGTTGACCATAGTTATTTTTTCTTGCTATGAATATGAGGATTGAGGTTCACAATGATAGCTTTTCTTACTGAATATCACTTAGCCTTTTTAGTAGCTGACCTTTTTCTGGTACTGATGTTGATTCACTGATGTTTGAGGGCTGATGTGCCTTGCACTGGGCCAACATTATCCCCATTAATGTTGCTTTTTTTCATCCCAATCTCCACGCTCCTGTTAGTTTTTGTTATTTGTTCAATCAGTGTTTCCACGTCTTCCAACATATCATTTATTCTACTTGGAGGAGATGAAGAGCATAGGAATCTCTCGTGGTACAAATTTTTAAAAAACAAAGCAATTGTTATTATATATAGTTAGCCTTAGTTGCTCATAGTATAGTCCATGCATTCAAATCATTCATCAGGAAAGGCCTGAGAGCAATGAAAGCATGCTCTGGGACTAAGGCATCTTCCTGTGTGAGTTTCTTTGTCCAGGAATGATACTTATGTATGTAAAACAGAAAAAATAAAAGAATAAAGGTCTTGTCTGATTAGGTTATTCTGGGGGGAGGGGCTGTTATATATTTCTGTTCCTAGCTTTTTTCCTTTCGACATCTTTGTGCTTTTTCTGTTCTTTTTTAGCTACCAACATCTTCCTCCTTAGCACTCTTTCCATTACTGTGTTAGTCTCTTCTGGTCTGAATTTTTTCTTTGCTCTTTTTGTAATTTGACCCTTATAATTGATACATTGCTAGGCATATGAAGAGGTTCCATTTACAGTCTAAAATTAGCTTTCTGGTCTAAACTTGTCTTCTAGGCAACCTCTGTAATCAATAAAAGATAAATACCACAGGAAGGCAATTCATCACATTTCAAGATTATGTTGAAACTGGAGGGATTAATTGCTGTCTGGGTCACCTGTCTCTGATGATTAAAGGGAGTGCCTGAGATGACAATCTCAAATGATGTATCTGACTTTCAGATGGCTAAAATTAGCTGAAAAGTAGCCTACCTGTTGTTCCAGGAGTGGTGTTGCTAATGCATTGTTTTTGTAAGGTCTGTCCTACAGAGGTAGAAACTGCATAAAAGGGGGATGAGAAGACACCCACAGTTTGATCTTTTTTTTTTTTCCTGAAGTGATTTGTGATGGTATGAGCAGTTATACTAGATTTTTCACTAGTGACCAGCAATGTTGTGATGTTCTAGAAATCAAACCCCTATTATTTTAGTAGAATAGTTAATTATATAGCTCTCATGTAAACTTCTCACCAAACTGCAGAATCTTTTTCATTTCATAAAGAGAAGCTTCAGAGCATTTCTGACAAGGCCACACAGTGCTGTAACACAACATAATGGGGTACAATCCAATTTTAAAATCAAAAAGAACTCTAAGTTTACTGATAGGTAGTATCTACTATTGCAGTGGTTGTTACTAAATCAGAAACGTCCCCACACAATGTGTTTCATCAGAAACAACATTGATAATTTTTGATTATCAATGCTGCACATAAGCATTTGCAATTAAAAAATAAATAAAATTTGGAAATACATGTAAAATTGTTTATGGACAAATACCATATGGAAGGATTTTGAGCAAAACTGTGTATCAGAAAGTATTTATCAGTGACAATTATTCCCATAGAAAACTGGTATTTATTGTTCTAATATTTGATCTTTTAACAGTGTTGTAACGTGCCACTGAAGCAACGCATTTGGAACAGTCCATAGCACCAAAATCTTCATCCACATAGACTGATGCCATCTCTGCACACCCCAAACACTGTGAACTGAAGCTAAAAGTCTTTATGGAGTTTATATCACCTGGGTCAAAGGGAATATTCTACTGATATATATATATCGAGGACCTTTACTGCCAATATGACGAGCCAGGAGAAGTGGGTTAACCTTAGCCCTGGAGAATTCTCTCAACTTCAAAAATATGCAGAATGTAAGTAATTTTTAAAATATTTTGATTTATGGCTAATTAAAAATTAGGAATATTTTGAATGCAGAATATAAAATTGTTATATTATTGATATTATTCACTGTCAAGTAAGAGGTTAAATTATAGTTTATGTTTATTTTTTTAACCCAAAAGGTATGTTCTTTAAAAGGAAAGAACAAAGTCTATTGGAATCTGTAACATTTTTTCTGCACAATATTTTTCCAGTGTGATACCATGTAAACTGACTATGGGTTATGTGACTGTATTTGGAGAACATATTTTTAAGGCTTTGCCTTAATTTGCCTCAATTTGCCATCACAATTTGTAGGCCACTAGAGTGGGGTTTGTAGTTGAAAAGAAGACTTGCTCAGTCATAGAGGAAGCATGGATATTCCAAGAGAAACACATCTAGGTGTCCAGTATGAAGATAATAAATTCTATAAGCAGTGTGAAGGAGTTGTCCTGTGAAAGAGCAAGAAACAAAAATCTCTCTAAGCTGAAGATCCAGTTCTTTAGTTATTGCTCAGGCAAAACTTCCTTTCAGTTTCTTGAGCAACTTAAATGGCTCAGAATTATGTGCTTGGGGAGCAGATACTGAACATGAAAGACAAAATTAGGAGATAGTTCGGAAGCCTGATAAGAAATGAACTGAAAAAGTTGAAGAACATTTAGGCAGTTCTCCTGTATGACAAGTAATCTAAATTTATGTTTTTAAAAACAGAGGACATCTGATATGATTCATGAATGCTATTGATTTATTACTAAGGGAAACATATGCTTATAAGGTAAAATGAATACGGGTGATTGTGTTTGGGTTTTTGTGCCTATGACATCACAGCATATACTTAATAGTATTTCAGTGTAGTCATCTGACAGAATAATCATCAAATGATTATTAGAATTAATAATGGGATTATTATTGAATAGTACATTCCACTGGAATGAGATTGAGATTCATAATATTTTCTTGTTATCAAGTTAGACCATGAATTACAATTTATATAATGCAATGTCATTTAACAACAACAAAAAAAGAAATCAGGTAGAAATATTTAAATTATGCTTTCTTGAACAAGTATATTTGAGTCTCACAGTTTTCTACAGCAGTTGCTGTGCAGTTTGAAGTATTCTATTTCTTAAAGAGTTTCCTCCCCATGTCACATTCTCATCTCGAACGATAAGCTATAGATTTGAAGGAAATTTGTATCATATACTGCTTTAAATCCTTAATGATGTTACTGGGCAAAGAGCTATTTTGTTTCTCATTTCATAGTGAAATATAAAACATTGTATTTAATCACTTGGGATTTTCTGTTTGAAAGAAGGTCTTAAGAATCTGGTATGAATCTGAGAAATGAAAATATCCATGCTTTTTAGTAGTTCTTTTATTTGTACGTGACACAGAAACAATAAATAAAGGGAAACAAAGTCCAGTTACATGGATTTTAGAAAGAATACATCCGAATTTTGTGCTGATGATCCACTGCTTTCAGAGACCATTGCAAAGAACACTTTGCATTTCACTTTTTTGATATGACTAAGCTTCTTTGTTTTAAATTACATCACCAAAAAATAGTAACTATAATGGAGCAGGTTTGTTTTTTTTTTTATTACTTCTGAAAATATTTAATATTTCGTGGGAAAATATTTTAAAATTATTCTTCAATATTTTTTTCAATACCAGAATTAGAAGATTCATAATAGACATAGAATAGTTATGTGAGGTTTTTTTATTTCCATTTATTCTTATAGTTTAAGCCTCCAGTGCTGCGTTTGCCAAAATATTTGTTCTCTTCCATGCGGGGAATAAAGGCATTTAAGATATTCCTTTCCATTCTGCTTCCCTTTGCTCCTCCAAGACTTCTTGCACACATTATAGTTCAGGGCCGTTGCTTTAGTAGAGCTGTTGATACCAGAATAAAGTATTTGGGGAAGTTGCCTGAATTTATGATCAGGTTTGTGTGTGTAAATAAAGATATGTTGCCTTTCATACTTCCTCTGCTGTTCTGTAATAAAAGGGTGTTAGTTGTTTGAAAATGTGAAATGTGACACAAAGATGTGTATAAACAATTCAATTTCTGAGGCAATTAGAAAAAAAAAATTGTTAATCGTATATAAATTTTCATATAAAATGCCAAGGGAATAAAACCTAGGTATACACCTTATTTTGAATTTCTATGCTGTCCAATTTAATTTAGCTAAATGACTACAACGTCTTTAAATGTATGACTTAAGACTTTAGAATGCAATTTTAAAAAATAAATATTTAATTGTGTTTAATATATTTGAATTTGATACATTTTAATGTAACATGCAGAGATACACAATGTGACAGTAGATATCTTTACTCATTCTTAAATTATAATTAGATTATGGGGAATTTCATGAAGTTTGAATTTAGAATTTCTTTGATATTTCATTGTCTTTGTTGAACATATCGAGATAGTGAACAGAAGAAGCACCATATTTCGGTTGATGACTTGGTAGAGTTTTATTTACTTAAGAAAATAAAAAATAATAAAAAATCCCCAAACAACAAAAGCCCTCAAACAATTTCTTAAAAAAAGACATTGCTCATTTCTCTCCAGCATGGGATTTCAAGTACCAGTGGGTCTCCTTCAGAATGGAGGGCTGATACGTGTGTCAGAAGATAACACTGTAGGGAGATTTGACTTTGTGGCAGTTGCCCACCAACAAGTGGTAGTGATGAGTCCCCAGCCTTGCCTCGTGCTAAGGAGTAGGTTTCACCAAAGGACTTTGGAATAAGTAGTGAATTCATAGTAAAGTGGTTTGTCTTCCACTCACCTGCTGATATGCAGGAGTGTCATTTGCTCTGGTGTAGAGACTTTACTTTGTAAATCTTACCTAAATTGCATTGTTTTAACTATGGAAATCTTGAACAGATACACTGTCTTGAATTTAAAAATACAATGTTTAGGAACTGTATTTTAATTTGAATCAGGCCTAATGTGAGTATTGGGACAAAGAGTATAGTCTACCAAAACTTGTCTACCTTGGATGTCAGTGCCTTCGATTATACTCTTAATGGCTGATAGTCACAGTTCCCTTCAGAAGCTGAATTCCCTCAGCCTAAGCTGGCTACAGAGCGAGATAGAATTTTGCTTATGTGACAGCCCCAGCCTCTCCCCTGGGCATAAGCACACACCACCTTGCAGATCTGAAAGCCTTAGTTTGGATTCCCTATAGCTGATAACGCAGACTATTCTCCTGCATAGCAGACAGGGCATACTTGTAGGAGTGAGGGATTTAGGTTTGAGGGTTTTGAGGTTAAATCTTGGTTTGAAAGCATATCCTTGATCTTTCCCCTATCTAGAAGCAATCCTGTCTCTCTTCTACCTATTTTATGAAGAAGACTTGCTGCCAGGTTTTGCTGAAATGAGTCACACCTGCAAGTGTTACAGTTTCTGAGAACAGAGGAATGGGTCCACCCAGCTTCTAAGAAACGGGTGACTCTTCTTGTCTTTACGCTGAAACAGAACTCATGAGGCATCTAAATGAGCTACTTCTCTTCAGCATCAATTGACTTCAGTCATTTAAAGAAATTTTCTACTATATTAAGATACAGACTGCACAGATAATAAGCTAAAAGTACATCCAGAGTTGAGTTGTATGGGCACAACTGTAGCTGATTGAGTGTGGACATTATGTATCTGTCTTGGACTTAGAGGTCTGAATCCAGTTTTTTTTTGTCACCAGAGTAGAGGTTGGATCTTTCACTGTATAAAGCTCATTAATGAACTCATGTGGATTCTAGTGCTCTGAGAGGGACATGTACTTTCTGCTTTCTGACTGAAAGACACTTGGCTCTAGTTCAGAGTAGTTCTGCTTTTAATTAATCTTCTCTGAGCTTGATGATAGCCTCTCTACTCTGGCAAGTACAGTTAAACAAGGCACGCTCCCTAGCTCTGTGTGCAGGTACTGTCCTTGGTATCACTTTGAGAAGTTCCTACTACATCTTTTTTACCCTTTTTCTTCTTCACATATTTATAGTATGGTTTGCTGCTTTATCCAGCTATATTGTTTGGTGAACACAAACCCTGAATGTAAAATTTCTTGCTTGAAATACATACCAGCTTTTCTCAATTTCCATAAATATAACTCAACAGCAAAGGAGAATCAGTTCTCCATCACTGTTCCTACTCGCACAGTATTTCCCTCTAAGCAACACTTAGAACTTCACAGTAAATGAATATCTTTCAGTAAATTAATCCAAGAAATATCTGTATTTTGTCTTACAGAATTATTTTTGAGCTCAATTCAAGGCAATTTTATACTTCCAATTTAAGCCCTTTCTTCTTTTGCCTACCATACTTAAATAATTGGGGACTTCAGTGAATTTTTGGAACAGTTTAAATATTACTTAAAATTAAAGTATTTCTAGAGTTCAAAGAGCATATTACCTAATACTTGGCTCTTTGCAGTTAATATGCATATGTGTGGTTTTGGAAGAAAAATTATTTCCAGAGACAGTTCCTCTGTGTCCTTCTTGCCAGTCAAATTAAAAATCTCCTCTCTCCTCTTGTTTCAAAGAGGAAATAGTAAAAAAGATTTTGCATTAGATCTTTGCTTAGTTTTAAATTGCCTCAGAAGAATTTGTGAAAAGTAGAACAACTGAGATAACTGGTGTAGTTATTATAGAATAGTGATAATAATGACAACAACAATAATGTAGCCTACACCAAATGCGGAAGATTCTAGGAAAATATATGCACTCAAGAGAAGAAAATTCATATTTTTTTTTTCTCCTTTAGATTTCATGATCAGTGCTAGCTGTGGGAAAGAAAGGTGAAAAGATGTAGGGATTTTTCTGCATATAAATGTCATGGCATAGGGTAGGGTACGTACAGGACTCTTCAGGCAGAGACAGTTTCTTCTAAATTATATAATACTAGTATATGTAAATCTTAAGAGAAGCAGCTCAGGGTTCCGGGGTTGTTTAGCCTGGAGAAGAGGAGGCTCAGGGGTAACATTAGTGCTCTCTA